ACTTCCGGGTCAGCGCCATCGCTAATGGCGGATTCCTCTGATTCTCGGAGGGACCAGCTCCGCGGGATCGGGTCTTACCGCTGCGGCAAAGCGGGGACCCTTTAAAAATCACAGGCGGGGGAAGCCTGTGAACGTGGGGACTCGGCGGGCACCATTAGCGCCCCCCCAAGTTGCGAAGGGACCCCTTTTAAGGGCTCCGGAGTGGGACGGGGTGAGCGGCGCGGTGCTGAGAGTCGACTGCTTCTTCCGCGGAGTGAAGCCACACAGCCGTTATCGGAGAGCGCTGACTTTTTCCTGGGATAATTGGAAACTACCTGTGAGTAGGATTAAATTGGATTTAAAAGGAGGGGGGGGGAAACCAGCTAATTCGGCACCGAAGCGGGAAGGTATAACCAGGAAGTCTGCCTTCCTTTCTTGTAGATAGTTCAAAGCAAAGAGACTGTAAAGCGGAAACATAGAGAGACGTTCGGAAAAAAGATTAAATCTCAACATCTGGAAAGTGGTCTCCCCTCCGGATTGCAGGAGAGGAGGGGGGAAGGTTTGAGTTGTATTTACCTGCAAAGAAAAGGGGGAAAGGAAGCTTAAATCTGCTGCTTAAAACCTGGGAATGGACTGCCCCTAGATAAGGAATGCCGTTCAGTGGAAAGCCTATCGGTAACCAGAGGATTTTTGACAGCTAACCCTGCAGAAGAGATATAGTGTTTCTGGACTTCTCCTGGCTTCAAAGTAACTGTTCAAGTGCATTGAAACTGTTGTTTTTAAGTGAATTGGGGGACTTATAAAGACCATCTTTGTTCTTAAAAGTTGCAAACTTTGGCTGTTACTGTGTCCCCCTAGTGGAGGCTGGACATTGTTACAATAACAACTGGGTTAGTTAGAGGAAAACTCCATTCTAAAACAAACTTTCAACTGTGGGAATGACCTTGAATTCTTATGAGAGTGTTATGGCAGATGGGAAAGGAAAGATAGAGCTGGCGCAGGAAAAAACTACTAGGTCTGGCAGACACTATCGGACAGATACTGCGCAGCAGCGAAGGGCTTCAACATCTGGAGCATCTGGAACATCAGGGGCTGCACTCCCACAGGTCAAACCAAAAGTTATGTCGTCCGAAGACGTTTTGGCACATGCACTTGGAAAAATTAATGAATCTTTGGAAAATTTAGCTAAGCAGGTAGCTGAGACTAATAAACAAGTAGCTGAAGCATCAGGTAAGATCTACCCACTTTGGAAGAATGGCAGATGAAGGTGATGGACTATATGGAATTGGCAGAAATGACTGGCAGAATCCGAGACCAGGGAGAAGAGTCGGTGGAAGAAGATTGGAAGAAATTTAAAGACTACTTACAGAAATATTGTAAAATTAATGAACGATAGAATGATGTTGGATAGTAACTAAGTGGTTTCTAGCTGTAATGCTTTAAGAGAATATGAAAAAAGGGTTATAAATGGGTTAAAATCTAATGGTAAGGATTTGCTGAACCAATAAATTGAAGTGGAATACAAAAAAGGGAGGTATGAGGAGGTCCGGGAAATAAGTTAAAGGAAAATAAGTAACTGGAAACGTGTGTTTTTAATTGTTTTTACTTTGTATTTTTCTCTTTTCTTTTTCATTTTTGCTGTAATATTTCAAAAAACCTAATAAATATCTTATATATATAAAAAAAGAGGCTATACTAGATGGGCCATTGGCTTGATCCAGCAGGCTCGTCTCGTGTTAATATGCTTGCAGAGTGGGGCTTTCCCTCCTGAACCCAGAACAGATTTAGGGGCGCTTAGTGTGTGGGGAAAGTCCCACTGTGGAAGTAGAAATCCTTGCAATGATGGGACAGGAACTTAGTGCTGCATTGGTATTTAACTGTGGAGACTCAGTTACAGTAGAGATGGTACATGTGTCTATTTTAACCTAGGGCTGAACAAAATACATTTTTTTGCAACATTCGAAAGGCTTCTGTGTGCATTACAGCACATGATAAACATCCAGGAGCCTCAGCCAACCTGGAGAACCTGGAGAGGAAACCAAAGTCTAATTATGACAGGGCATATTTTAAAAGGCAAAACACATGATAAAACTACACTGTGTTTCTGAAGATTTTGCCCCTCATTATTAATTTGGTAGGTCTTGTCAATTCTCTCCTATGGGCTTTGCATGCTTATTCATTCATTCATGGGTAACCTAAATGATGGATAGTTAAAATCTAGAGGAATTTCCTTGTTCAGTTATGATAATTTTATTAAGAAATATATCTGCAGACCTGGGATCCAGTGAACATTACATTATAATTCAAGTGAGTTAGATGAGGGAGATGGGAAATAAGCTATTAAGCTGAGAGCAAAATGAGAGATGTTTTCAGTAATATACACAATTAAGAGTGTAGAGGAGAGATCTTGCTGATTTATGAGTTGCATATGCAATGATAATGCATTCATAAAATGTTTTCCACCAAGCAGTCCAATAAATTTGTTTATCTGTGTGCTTGGATTAAGAAAGTAACGTTGCCAAACAACCAACTGACTGCAGACATTAGAGATTCCAGATTAATTACCATCTGCATGGGACAGATGTTAAAATCCTTGGTTTCCCAGCACAGCATCTATTGCTTATTTCCCAGGGAGTGTTCCTTTCTCTGATCAATAAATGTATCAGACAGGCTGTTCATCTTGCCAGAGAGGTCAGAGCAATGACAGAAGTACATCTGTTTTTGTGTCACATAAAGGCTAAGGAAATGAATCTTATCTAGGCAGATCCGCTGCAATAGCCTTTCATTCTTTTGCTAGTCTACTGATGATGAAGTTTTAAGCACTGAGGGGTTGCATCCAACGAAATCTACTTGGATTTGATCCACTGAAATTAATGTGCAGTTGGAGGTGGTATGTTTTTAGATACCAGTTGTTGGAAACTGCAAGTGGGGAGAATGCTGTCATGTTCATGGTGTGCTTGTGGACTTCTCTTTGAGGCATCAGGTGTTGCAAAAATTAAATATTGCGCAGTTTGAAGCGACTAGAAGCAAAAGAATGGACTCCTTTGCCAATGAAACATTGTCCAGGCCCGGAGAAATATTATTTAAACCTTTACTAGCATAACTTTCTTTAAAACAATTAAAGCATCAAAAAAAATCCATACTGTCAAGGCTGCCTCAAGTCTCAGCTCACAAAAGACCAACGCCTATGTCTTCTTATATACAAAAGTGTTTATTGCAGTTCATTGTTTGCTTGACATCCTAGGCGCGCAGCCTTACGTCTGCTACGCTTAGACCGCTGAAGTCCCCTCTGAATCCGTCCCTCCCCTGCACCAATTTAAGAGGCTTGCGCTGCTCCACCTCTTTCTCTCCTTCCTTTTCCGCAGGGTCCTTCTGCCCGCTGGGGTTTCGCCCTCCTGTATTCCTCTGACGCGGAATCAGACTGCTCTTCCCCCTCCTGCGGGCTTTGGGACCTGGCCCCTCCTCCGGGCTCCCTGTACTTCCGCGCGCCTCTACATTTGAACTTGGCGCGCGCGCCAAACCTCTAACTTTCCTTTTGACAGTTACACTACTCCCTTCACTGCTCCCTCCCCTTCCGGGAGGGCGGCTTGCTCTGACCTCCCTCCTTTCTCTGCTGCCGGAGCTGCTTCCCTGACACACTGGAAACTCCACCCCCTTCGCTGCACTCTGGTGGGGAGGCTGGTCCTGACGCCCAGCTGCCACTTTGGGATCCTCCGCTGGCCCCCTGCTCCTGACACGTCCCCCTGGGGCTCCTGGCCTTGACCACCGGCGCCCCTTCTGGGAATCCTCTGATTCGCTGGAAAGACTCATGGAATCTCTTGAGTCATTGTCATCCTCTTCCTCGCTGGCTTGGAATTCATCCCCATCGCTCTCCATCTCCTGCCTACCCTGTGCCTCTCTCCCTGAACCCCTGACATCCATCCCCCCCTCGAAGCCCCCCCTTCCTCCCTCCCGCTGCTCGGGCGCAGGTTCCGGGAGCTTCATTGTAGCGGGGGTAGATGCTGGATACAGTTCGTCGACGTCGATCTCCTCTGCTTCCAGTTCAGTGTAGGAGTGCTCGAACCGGGGTCCTCCCCCAACACCTCCAAACCCTTCCCTCCCCCTGTTACTTCAGGCGAAGCTGCTTGCCAAGGCCCCCTTCGCCACCCCACTTCTGGTTGATCGTCCCACCAATAAGAGCGGTCCGTGTCCACCCCCGAGCACGATCCCCTTGGAGGGCTCGATGGCGGCGTGGTCTCCTCTGCGGAGGAGACCCCCCCGGAAGGTGCTGCCGGCAAGGGTGGGGGTAAACAGCCAGTCGTCAAAATACTCCTCTGGCATGGGCCTGTGTGGGAAGAGTGCATGGAACTCGTCCTTAAGCAAAGGTTCCTCCAGAGCATAATCTGGCACCCAACTGTTGGCGCTGGCCGGGGTACCTTCCTGGCGAGGAGGTATTCCACTCCCTCCTCCCCCATCTCGAGTCCAGAATTTCCGTGACCTCGTTGAGTGTCGGGGTCCTCGGTGACTTCCCCCCCCCGGTGACTTCTACGTGGGTCTGGTGCCGTCCCTGGCTCCTGAAATCTGTGTGGGGCATTGTAGGGTGTAAGCACCGACCTATGAAAGACCGGGTGCATTCTGGAATCCTCTGGGAGGGTCAACCGAAGCTACGGGATTGATCCTGCCCTCAACTTGGTATGGCCCTAGCTGTTTGTGTCCTAGCTTCTTCTTAGCTAACGACTTGGCCGGCACCGCCTGGGCTGCTAACCATACCCAGTCCCCCACCTGGATGATCAATCAAAATGTTTATTCGGCTTTACGCCCATCATAAAGCACAACACACAAAACAAATCAAATAAAACAGCGGTCTCGTACAAGCCACAAGTAATATAACACAATTCACAGCTCACAAGGACAAATATTGGCAAATCAAAACAGAAATTTAAGATTAAAGTTAAAAATTTAGGCACTACGCTAAAATCAATATCTGATGTCAATATCAAAAATTCTTATAACTATCAATAATCAGCTAACATTCCATTCCGTCTCTTGTACGAGAGAACGGCTGTTAGGAATTTAGCAACCTGTAGAGTAATATAAGGATCTGCATCTTGAAGAACCCAGGCAAGCTGTAGGTCTACTGGTTTGTCAGCCATAGGCTGGATTATGGAGTTTAGTATACTAGCGCGAGCTGAACTGTACATAGGGCAGATAAACATAACATGATGTAAAGATTCAGATGTTTTCATTTCACAAGCACACATTGAAGGGACTTGGCCCTTAGTGAATCTATGTCTCAGCACGTTTGTTGGAAAAACATTGAACCTGGCTCTAATGAAGGCATATCGGTGAGATGCGGCTATAAGCGATGTTAAGTAGGACGGAGCACGATAGATAGGGGTTATGCCGAGATTTAACGGGGAGCAGGCTCCACCACCAGCTAAGAAATTTTGGTATAGCTCCACATCATCCAGCCTTTGATTTATACACCTTTTTGCCGCGTTTAGATCCAGTTTGAGCAATTCCGTGGGCGAGATCTCATAGGACAGCAATTTGGCATGGATTTTTCCTGACCACAAATTTGTGAAGTCATCCCGCCACATGCATTGAATGAGATAATGGTTCGGTAGTTTATGCCATAGGGATATCCAATAAATCAAAACTCTCCTCCATAAAACTAACTCCACTGAGGGGATCTTCATTTCTAAGCGAATAGCCGCATTACTTACGCATGTTGGTAGTTTTAGAAGTCGGCGTAAGAATTGGCTTTGAAGCGACTCTAAAGGTGAGAGGTTTGCAAAAGCAGCCCATAAAGGTGCAGCATAGGCCATTGTGGCCATCACTTTAATGCTATACACTTTCAAGGCCGCAGGGATGAATAAGGCCCCTCAGAGTAGAAAAACGGAGGAGGGAGTGTGATAGGGCTTTTGTCTTGTTTTGAAGATATTCAACGTGCGCTTTCCACCCTAGATTATATTGAAAATAAATTCCTAAATATTTAAATTTGTGTACTTGTTCGATTTTCGTGCCCTCCAATTTCCATGAATATAATTTTCGACTCCTTGAAAATATCAGTACTTTGGACTTGGTGTGGTTGATAGACAGATGATTAGAACGGCAATATGATGCAAAAATCTTTAGTGCCCTCCTTAAACCCACTCTGGAGTAAGAGAGTAGTACCGCATCATCTGCGTAGAGAAGTAAAGGACAACGATAATCTGCTATACGGGGGGTGTGGATAAATTTTTGTGAGTCGATTAATGGGTTCCTCATATCACTGATAAATAAGTTAAAAAGAAGAGGCGCTAAAATACAACCCTGGCGTACACCCTTATTTACTGGCACTGGGTTAGTTAGGTCTCCAGCAGGGGATATTCTTACCCTGGCCACGGATCCGGCATGAAGTTGGGAGATAAGCCACAGGAGCCTTCTATCTATTCCCCAGCAGGCAAGTTTATCCCATAGTAATTGCCTCGGAATACTATCAAACGCAGCTTTCAAATCTATGAAGGCTGCGCAAAGTTGGCCCCGTCGAGGTGTCGAGTATTTCCGGGCTAAGTGATAAAGAATAATTGCCTGATCTGTTGTGGATCGATTTAATCTAAATCCGGCTTGCTCATGCCCAATCAGGTCAGCCTCAGCTGACCACTTCATCAGCCTTGCCAGCAAAAACGGGCATATATTTTCCCAATGGACGATAGCAGACTGATATTCCGGTAATTCCCTGGGTCACCGGGAGGGCCTTTTTTGTAGATAGGAATTATAATGGCCTCCTTCCACGTACCTGGTATTAAGCCCGTGGCATTTATTGCGTCAAACGTTTTAGCTAAAATCCCTGCCCACCATGCAGAATGTAGCTTTATAGCCTCAACAGGGACCAAATCTGGCCCAGGGGCCTTACCAGTTTTCAGCTCAGCTATCAATTCTAGGATTTCAGCAGGGTCGGTATTGTGCCAGACGGGAAGGGGATTAGAAGGTCTCCAGTGAGTGGCCGGAGCTTCTGCCACTGAGAAATATTTTCTCAGGAACTGCTCCCATGTAGGGGCCGGGATCACCGTTAAGGGGTATTTCGTGTTTCTTCCCTTAATTAAGGACCAAAATTTCCGGGAGTTATGAGATTTTGAGGCAGAAATTATAGTCTGCCAGCGATTTAAATGCCATTCCCGTTTGGCCGATTTCTGGGCCTGATTGGAGGCGAGTTTAGCCAGGGAATAAGATGGAGGTAAGGCCAGAGCGCCGGAAAGTTTATAGTCATTATATATTGTATGTAGATGGAGTCTGGCTAGTTTACAAGCAGAGTTGAACCAAGGGGCGCCAAATTTAAAATAATCGTTTTTAACTCCATAGCTTGGAGAAGTAAAAAAGCGAGTTAAAACTTCTATCAGGCAAGAGAAAAAATTCATACAGGTAATAGGATCACGCGGGACTATTCCTACGTCCGGCTGATCACCAAGAAACTTTTCTCGGATAAAATCCGTATATCTATGGGCGAGGGCAGGGGACCATCTAATCCCCTTTATTTTAGTGGACGGCTCCGCAATCACCGGGATTGGGTGGGAGCGCTCGAGCAGGTGCCAGTCAACACATAACTTGGTTGTCAGGGGAAGATGGTCACTAAATTGGGCATTATCAATTTTAAAAGAGGTGACATTCAAAAATAGATCCCGGGAAACCAATACATAGTCAAGAACACTGTTTGATTTTAACCCCAGATGGGTGAACTCTCCTGGTATATCTGGAGGACACCTGCCATTTAATATAATTAAATTAAGGCGTAAAGCCATCTGGTAAAGCATCACTCCCGCCTTATTGACTTTTACATCCTTTGATATTCTAGTGGGGATATATACTAGATCGTAGGTTTGAGCGCCGGGGTCGACCCACCATTTAGACTTTATAAGAGCCTCCCGATTTGAGGCTATCCGAGCGTTAAAATCGCCTCCGGTAATGGAGGGGACATTAGGATATTTAAGATAACAAGAAAGTAAAAATCCTCTAGGGATTCCCATCTAGAAATAAGATCAGCTGCTAACCCTCCCGGGGGGAAATAGACATTTGTAACCAATAAAGAGAAGTTTCCACCAGAGATCAGTCCGGTAATAGCATAAGGCGGAAATGCGTGCACTAGTGAAAGTTTAGCCCGAAGTTTAAGGGAGATACCAATTGTAAGGCCACCTTTAGGGCGGCCACCATTCGTTGACGGGCTAGCAGGCAGACATATAAACTCAAAGCCATTTAACTCAATTTCCTCCTCCACCCAAGTTTCTTGTAATAGTATGATAAAAAGGAATTAATATATTTTTGGAATTCTGGATCTGATTTTTACTTTTCCATCCAGCAATGTTCCAACTTAATATTGAAGGCTGGGGTTTCCTCGTTCCTCCAATTGACTGTCATTCGGAAGGTTGGCTCAACTTTAATACGGGAAGAGGGGAGCCAATAAAAAAATCAGTTATCTTCCTCTGATGAAAAACCTCTCGTAAAAGCTGAGTGGGAGGATTTACAAGGTTGTCTGTCTGTTGAACTTGGCCACTCGATCTACTAGGAGTAGGACCTTGAGCAGGGGCGGCCCCCTTTTCCAAAAGAGTTTGGTGGGCCACCCGGTGTGGTCCATCTATCTCGTCAGAAGTTTGGGCTCTCTGTGGTCTGCTACTGGTCTTTTGGGCTACTTGATTTATGTGGCCTGTTGGATCTTCAATCAGTTCCGTCACAGGTCTTGCTGTTGAATCCATAGTACTCCGCAAAGAGGAATAAGGCTGGGCGAGTGGGCTATTTGGGAAGATTAGCAAAGGCACCTCTTCTCTTGATTGGTCAGTGCTATAAGAAGGTTCCAGGTCTGGCATCGATGAATGTGTAGAAGGGGATTTTTCCTGTTGTGTGCTGCTTTCTTCAGGTATGTTTATCAAGGGACGGTCATGTAAATCTATTAAGAGCACGGAGGGTTGTTCTGGTTGGAGGGAAGGACTGGTAGTTGCTTCTTGGGGTTGTATCTTATCCTCCATTACCGACATACATTTAGCATTAGATATTGCGATATCCATATGAACTGGTTCTTCTAGGATGTCATGCTCGCTGTACATAGGTATTCTGGTGCTGAGCTTCCTGATAAGTTGGGTTTTAAGCGATTCGAGTCTATTAATAATTTCTTTTTGTTCCACCGCTGGTAAATCTGCAAAGGAGGCAATGAGTTCGATCTCTTCTGGTGGTGTCAGGCCACTTTCCGGATGGTCATTGTTCTTTGCTAGGGGAGTGGAGGCCACATGACTCATCTCCTGGAGGAGAACACCCACTCCGGTGGCCACTGGTGGATCGGGTTTAGCAGATTTTAAGCCCTCTTTGGTTATTGCCTCCAACAGTAGGGGTTTAGGCGTAGGGTCTATAAAGGCTCTCGTTGGTGCTATACCACAGCGAAACCAAAAGCTTTCCTTCGTAATATGATAGTGGGAATTTTTGTGGATTGGAACGCAAGCAGGACTCTCTGTGATGTATGATGATAGACAAGGGGAGGACTGCACAGAGGTCAATCTGTGTTGCCTCCATATTTAAAAGCACCATTAGGAGTTCCTTGGCACCGCCCAGAGTTCTCCATCTTGGGTCCCCATTTTGTATAGTTAGGCACACTTTCCTTGGTGTTAAAATCAAGGATTGATGACCTAATTGAAGGTTAAGGTTGTATTTAAATTTGTCAGTACGTTTGTTATTTAAGGACAGACTCCTCGTCCCCTTCCTCTCTTCGAGAGACTTAACACCGGCTAACGCTGGAGAGGTAGTAACTAGCTTTTGTTGGAGGCTGTGCAGCTGGGACGAAAGATCATCTAGTCTTTTGAATATACAGTGCAAAGTTTTGATTATTAAATGGGACTGTTCAAATGTCATATAATTGGCTGTGCCAAGGACCAGTTCCTCCTTCTGAGGAGAGGCTACACTCTTACTGTTGCCCACATTGCTTGTTAATTGAGGTATTATTCGCTCTTCGTCTTTAAGTGCTGACACGCAATCAATCAGAGGGTTAAATCGGTTCTGAGTTTCTACCGTGTAGGAACAATCCAGTAGATTACTCCCTTCCTTAAAGTGACATGGTTCCACCCTTGTTTGCTTTGATCTCGGAAAGGGAATGGGGACTGTCTCCTCCGAATCTCTAAGACGTTTCCCATATCCCATAATTCAGATATCGAGTAGAGGGGGGATAGTATTTTAACGTCAACTAAATATTTCCTTCAAGCCTGCCAGCACTTGCAGTGGGGGTATATTTCACTGCCTGTTCATATGTAAGTCGGCGTCTTCACCTTCACCCTCACAGTCCGGCAATTTAGTTCGACAAGGAGACTACCGATAAGCAACACAGACCATTCCTTTGAAGTCCTACTCCCACCAGGACTAAGACTAATATAAAATTCTCCTTCGGAGCTTATCACAGGGCCCACCGTGGGTCGGTCTCAGATAAAAGGGAAACTCCCGAAGGCCTCACCAGATCCCAGAGAGAGAGGAGACTCCAAGAAGGCAGCGTAAGGATCCACCCCGATGCTTCAGTTTCAGCCGCTCCTTGTTTCTCGGCGTTTTTCCTCCCCCTCCTCCTTTTCTAGACTTTTAACTTGAGCTTTTAACTCAAGCCTTGAATATATTAGTTAAAAACAGCTGCCAAATGTTGTAGATAAAATACTAAGGCTGATAAAAGCCGAATAAAAACTGATAAAACCAATAAAAACTAATAAAAACCGCACAACTGCTGCGGAGCTCAAGTCAGTGCCTCCACCAACAACGCCATCTTGGGTGGGTCCCCCCCCACCTGGATGTCTTCTCCTGCCCTCCTGTGCCTGTCTGCCTGCACTTTGTAGGCGTGTTTAGCCAGTTCCAAGTGCCGTCGTAGCTCCTCGTGGACCTCCTGCAATTCTGCTGCTAAATGTTCCGCTCCCTGCGACTCCCCCTGCGTCGTTGTCTCCAACGCCGGGAAGGTTCTGGGATGTCGCCCATTGTTGGCGAAGAACGGTGTCACCCCCGTTGACGCGTGCTTCGTGTTGTTGTAGGCAAACTCGGCCATCGGTAAGTAGTCCACCCAAGTTGCAGGCTTTTGATTGGCGTAACATCGCAGGTACTGCTGCATGATGGCGTTGACCCTCTCCGCTTGGCCGTTGGTTTGCGGGTGTCTCGCCGACGCTAAGTTGATCTTGACATTCAGGATGCCCAGGAGCTTCTGCCAGAAACTGGAAATGAATTGGCGACCCCGGTCGGACAGGATGGACCGTGGTAAGCCGTGCACCCGGAACACGTGGTCTATGAACAGCTTGGCGGTCTGTTCCGCTGTTGCCACCTTCGCGCAAGGAATGAAGTGCGCCATCTTGGTGAACAGATCTACAACCACAAGCACCGCCGTCTTGCCCCGCGAACTGGGCAGATCAGTAACAAAGTCCAGCGCCACCCTTTCCCACGGCTGCAGTGGCGTCTCCAGCGGTTCCAGCAATCCCGCTGGCTTCTTGTGCACTGGCTTGGACCTCTGACAAGTGTCACACCTGGCGACGTAATCCGCGACCTCTCCCCGCATCTGGGGCCACCAAAAGTCTCTGGCTACTAAGTCCGCCGTCTTTTCTTTGCCGAAGTGACCCCGCACTGGGAGCGTCGTGTAACTGCTGTAAAACCTTCGCGCGGAGAGCGTCTCCCGGGACGTAGAGAGCACCTTTGCGGGTCAGCAGGCCGTCGCGTATCTGGAATTCGCCGTCCTTTGCTGTCCCTCTTCGCACCTCCTCCATCTTGGATTGTGCGAACGGATCCGTCTGTAGCGCGCGTCGTACTGCGTCCAGGTCCACGGCGGCGGAAGCGCACGCCCACGCTTGCGGTGCGAAAATGTGCCTGGCTGCCACTGGTGCCGCTTCCTCGAGATACTGCGGTTTCCTGGAGAGCGCATCCGCTATGACGTTGTTGTCTCCCGGGATATACTCTATCCGGAAATCGAAATCCGCAAAGAACTCCGCCCATCTCATGTGCCTCTGGCTCTGGAGCTTCGCCGTGCGCCAATACTCTAGGTTCTTGTGGTCCGTGCGGACCTGCACGGTGTGCTTGGCTCCGATGAGGAAGTGCCGCCACGCCTTGAAAGCCGCGTGGATGGCCAACAACTCCCTGTCCCAGATGGTGTAGTTCTGTTCCGACTTGCTGAGCTTCCGGGAATAGAAAGCGCAGGGCCTCCAGTTCCCTTGCGAATCTTCCTGCAAGAGGACGGCCCCCACTGCTCTGTCAGATGCGTCAGTCTCAACCCGCATGGGCCTGCCGGGATTCACGTGTAGCAGCTGGTCTTCGGACGCGAAGAGACTCTTAAGTCTCCTGAAGGACTGCTCCGCCTGGTCCGTCCAGGTGAACTTCTTCTTGGAACTGAGGGTGTCCGTGATAGCTGCCGTCTCTTTCGCGAAACCCCTGATGAACTTGCGGTAAAAGTTGGCGAAGCCGACGAACCTCTGGACCTCCTTCCGATTGCGCGGGCTATTCCAGTCCAACACCGCGCGGACCTTGGCGCTGTCCATGGCTAGTCCCTTGTCGGACAGCCGGTAGCCCAGGAAATCCACCTCCGTCACGTCGAACTGGCACTTCTCCAGCTTGGCGTAGAGTCTGTGCTCCCGTAGCCTCTGCAGGACCTCCTTTACGTCTCTTTCATGAGTCTCCTGCGATTCCGAGAAGATCAGAATATCGTCGAGAAAGCATACGCACTTCTTGTAGAGGAGTCCTGCTAGCACGTGGTGCATGAATGCTTGAAAACAGTGGGAGCCATTTTGGAGACCAAACGGCATAACTCTGTATTCATAGGTGCCCAGCGGCGTGAACATGGCCGTCTTCCACTCGTCACCTTCCCTCATGCGTATTAGATTGTATGCTCCGCGTAGATCCAACTTGGTGAAGATCCTCCCCTTCCTCACCGTCGCGAGCAGGTCGTCAATCTTGGGCATGGGGAAAGCCTTGGGTTTTGTCATCGAGTTTATGGCCCTATAGTCCACAATGAGCCGTTTTTGGGGCGTGTCCTTCTTCTTCACGAAAAACACAGGACTGCCCCCCCACTGCCTTGGATTCTCGGATGAATCCCCGCTTCAAATTGTGATCTATGAACTCCCTGAGTTCCTGCATCTCATCTTCAGACATGGAATACAGCTTCGCAGTCGGCAGCGTCGCCCCTGGTAAGAGGTCAATTGCACAGTCGTAGGGCCGGTGGGGTGGTAATTGGTCAGCTTCCTTCTCGCAGAAAACCTCCAAAACCCCCTTGTACTTGTGGGGCACCGCCTGCACCATGCCTAGATGCAACTGTTGCCCTTCCTCCTGGCCCTCCTCCTCCTGGCCGATCTGGATGCAATGTTGTGCGCAGTAGGACGAGCCAAAGGTGAGCTGCCGCTGGTACCACGCCAATGATGGGCTGTGTCTGTCCAGCCAACTCATGCCTAACACTATGGGCGTGTCTGACAGTTGGGTGACATTGAAACTGATGACCTCGCGATGATTCCCAATTTTCAGCAGCATGGGTGGCGTCTGTTGTACCACTTGCCCACCCAGCAACTTCCTGCCATCTACGGTGACCACATTCAGAGGCAGCGTGGCTGGTAGTAGCGCTATGCGATGCTGCTTGATGAACTGCACCCCCACGAAGTCTGCGTTGCTCCCTGAGTCAATCGTAATGGGGACTTCCAGGGTGAGTCCATTAGGCAGCTGGAGAGTAGCAGTGAGCTGCACCACTGGCTTGGGTGGTAAGGGGTCTGTAGGCTGCAAAAGCGCTGGGGACTGCTTCACTGACTTGCCTGGCGGAGCCCCAGCATCTCTGCCTCCAGCCAGGCATTCTCGTTTCCCTGAAACTGTTCCCCTTGGAACGCTTCCCCTGTTACTGTTGCTAAGGCTGCAGTGTGCTTCTGGAGCCTCTGGGGACACTCTTTAGCCATGTGCCGTGCACTGTCACAGATGTAACACTTCCTGGTCCCTCTAGGAGGCTTCGCTTTGACTGCTCCGGACGCTGAGGCTCCGGCAGCTGTCTGAGCCTTTGCACCACCCAGCTCCATTGGTTCTTCCCCCCCTTGCAGCACAGGCGAAAGGTTTGCACGTTCCAGGTCCCTGGGAGGAAAAGGAGGCGCTCTAGCTGGTGGGCGGACGTGACGCCCTCCTCCCTGTGCCAAGGGCGTTCTTCGTGGCGCACTCCTATCGTGAGTGCCCTCTGCACGACGTCTGCTAGGGTTTGAGGTCTGTCTCCCCTAGCCAGCTCATCTTTCACTGAGCCATGAAGCCCCTCCCAGAACAAGTCCCTCACTGCCAGGGAGTCCTTTTCCCAGCCCAGCACATTCAGCAATGCAAAAAAGCGAGAATGGTACTGACGCACTGTAGCCTTGCCCTGCCGCAATCCATGCATCTCCTGGCGCGCCATATCAACGTCAACGGTAGATTGGAAGCAAGCGTCCATGGCTTTGATAAATTCGTCAGAGTCCCTGCGTGCAAGACCATCTTCGCGCCACAAATTGCGTAACCAGGTTCTTGCTTCCCCATGCAAATGGGACACAATAAAACCTACTTTTTCCTCCTCATCTTTGAAGTCGTTTGAAGCAAATGCAGCGCGTATACGACGTCTGCTCTGAAATTGGGATAATGCTTCAGGTTCCCATCGAAGTGGGCTACTAAATTGCCCCCCCTCCGTCCGAGTCCGATTCCCTCTGATCTGGACCCCGGGAACCCCTCTTTGCACGCCCGATCCCACCTGGCTTGCAGATCCTGGCATCGCGCTTCTGCTTCGGCAACCGTCTTCTGAGAGACCACTACCGCAGTGGAGAGCTCGGTGACTGCGTTTTGCAGGGACGCTATCTGCTCCTCAGTAGTCATCTCTGCCAAACTTCGTGAGCTTTGCAAAAAAAAAAAATTTTGCGGTTTTGTGAGAGGGGACTTACTGTCAAGGCTGCCTCAAGTCTCAGCTCACAAAAGACCAACGCCTATGTCTTCTTATATACAAAAGTGTTTATTGCAGTTCATTGTTTGCTTGACATCCTAGGCGCGCAGCCTTACGTCTGCTACGCTTAGACCGCTGAAGTCCCCTCTGAATCCGTCCCTCCCCTACACCAATTTAAGAGGCTTGCGCTGCTCCACCTCTTTCTCTCCTTCCTTTTCCGCAGGGTCCTTCTGCCCGCTGGGGTTTCGCCCCTCCTGGATTCCTCTGACGCGGAATCAGACTGCTCTTCCCCCCTCCTGCGGGCTTTGGGACCTGGCCCCTCCTCCGGGCTCCCTGTACTTCCGCGCGCCTCTACATTTGAACTTGGCGCGCGCGCCAAACCTCTAACTTTCCTTTTGACAGTTACACTACTCCCTTCACTGCTCCCCTCCCCTTCCGGGAGGGCGGCTTGCTCTGACCTCCCTCCTTTCTCTGCTGCCGGAGCTGCTCCCCTGACACACTGGAAACTCCACCCCCTTCGCTGCACTCTGGTGGGGAGGCTGGTCCTGACGCCCAGCTGCCACTTTGGGATCCTCCGCTGGCCCCCTGCTCCTGACACGTCCCCCTGGGGCTCCCTGGCCTTGACCACCGGCGCCCCCTTCTGGGAATCCTCTGATTCGCTGGAAAGACTCATGGAATCTCTTGAGTCATTGTCATCCTCTTCCTCGCTGGCTTGGAATTCCTCCCCATCGCTCTCCATCTCCTGCCTACCCTGTGCCTCTCTCCCTGAACCCCTGACACATACAATAGCTTGTGCTTTCCAGCACAGGCTCAGCATCTTACAAAATGTAAAATAACCCAAACAGATTTATAAGTAAACCTCCCTCTCTCTCCCTCTCTCTCTCTCTCTCTCTCTCTCCCCCTCCCTCCCTCTCCCTTTTGGAGAGCCATTTACTTGCATTGTTCTCACTGTGACATTTAGAGATGTGGCTCCATTTGCATCTTCACTCCATTATGTTTGGGAGGCAAAAACTCAAAGGCAACTCCTTTCAAAATGGAGATTGCGATCCAATACCTTCTCACAGGGACGCGGGTGGCGCTGTGGGTAAAACCTCAGCACCTAGGGCTTGCCAATCGCATGGTCGGTGGTTCGAATCCCTGCGGCAGGGTGAGCTCCCGTCTTTCGGTCCCAGCTCCTGCCCACCTGGCAGTTCAAAAGCACCCCTAAGTGCAAGTAGATAAATAGGTACCGCTTTATAGCGGGAAGGTAAACGGCGTTTCTGTGTGCTGCGCTGGTGCTGGCTCGCCAGAGCAGCTTCGTCACGCTGGCCACGTAACCCGGAAGTGTCTCCGGACAGCGCTGGCCCCCGGCCTCTTAAGTGAGATGGGCGCACAACCCTAGAGTCGGACACAACTGACCCATATGGGCAGGGGTACCTTTACCTTTACCTTCTCACACAATCCAGCTTACAACCCTCACATGTTACAGTAGCTACTAGAGAGCAAGAGCTCAAAGTCCTTTGGAAAAACTCTTGTTTTTCCAAAGGACTTTGGAAACCCATGTTAGCAACACACATTTAGCCATTTCCATTTCCACACATACATTTTTCATTTCTGGGTGCATTAAACCATTTCACTTTGTCAAGGAGCGGCTCACTTTCCCCAGTTCTCCCTCCAAGCTACTAATCCTTCACACACAGGCACCTAATGGGTTACCAGGCTTATTGGCTTCTTCTCTGGCACCAGCTACAGAGCATCAAAGAGCAAGTCTAATATATGGCATGTTCTGTCTCTCTCTCTTGGCAGGTTAACTCAAATATTTATAGGGGCTGGGGAATGCTGGCAACCAGCCAGCCCCATCACTTTGGGGACTAATGGTTACCACCTTCCTGAGGGGCCCCACCTAGTGATACTTGCTCACAGGATCATTGCTTCATGACATACTTAACATCTGGTTGGCCACTGTATAAACAGGATGCTGGATGCAATGTTTCATGGGCCTGGTCCAGCAGGCTTTTCTGATGTTCTTAATGGACCTCAGTTAGTCATGTCTGATAATTTAAATGGGTCTACTTTGAGCAGGAATAACATTGGCTACAACCCTGAGAAATTTGCAGCACTGTTTTTTGTTTTGCTTTTAACCAATTTCTCTAAGCAGCCTTGAGTCTGAATTTTTTGGATGTTGGTGCAAGAAAGACAGCAAACTCTGCTTTGAAGTAGAGAACATCAACAGGGTCCTCATTTAAATTTCAATGCATCATCACTTAAAGAACAATTTTTGCCTAATACATGCATAATTTTTGCCTAATATTTTGCAAGCAATTTCCATAGCAGAGTGAATTTTTGTACTTTCCACTAATTTACACATTATTGTGTGCATATTTTTTTGGCTGGAGAAAAGCACTGCAAAATTTGCACACAAAAAATAATTAAAAAAATAAATCAAAGATTAGCCACTGTCAGGGAACTGACATCGGAGCTAGAGGCGGAGGGAAGGCTCACTAATGATGCTGGAGAAGGGCCCAGCAGGGAGAGAGGCAGCTCAGCAGATGCGGAAGCAAATCAGCGCAACACCAGGGATAAAGGGGGGCAGATGGGGGAATCGGCGAGAGGGCTCCAGGACTCTTCACCGGACACCAGCGGGGAGAGCGACTGAGGCAGCCACGATTGAAGGGCTGTCCAGACAGAAAGGTTTAACAAGGCAACATAGCCAGGAGAGGTGGCAACTTACGCACGAGCAACCCATACTCATTACAGCAATCCGTCAGTCCCTGATGTCGCTCGTGCACGGCGACAGGCAGGCAGCATCATGAGCAAAACCGGAGAAGCTGGCGCCACGGAGGGAGCAGCTGGAGGGCAAAATCTGGTGGAGAGGAACCGAGATTTGGAACAGCATGTGGCTCTGCTGACGGCGCGGCTGGACGAAAGGCGGGCTCAGGATGCTCAGGTCAGACCCACCCCTGTAGCAAGGAAGGTACCGGGACTGGTACACAAATTTGGAGGGAAACCCCAGGACTACAGTGCATTCCGAACGGAAATAGAGTACGCGTTGAAACTGCAACAGAATGATTTTGCAGACAATGGGGAGAGGGTTGCCTATATTGTCGGACATCTGCAGGATGGGGCCAGAGAATGGATCAGGCCCCTAATGGCAACGCAGAATGCCGCCTTGAAAGACCTGAGGAAATTCTTCCAGGCGATGGATGCAATGTATTCCAGTGATGTACAGCAAAGTGTGACTCGGCAGGAACTGATGGGCTGCAAACAGGGGAACCAGTCAGTTAGAGACTACGGGTCACGCTTTGCCATGTTAGTCCACCGGCTCGGGTGGGAATTGGTCTCTGAACCCATTCAAATGCTGTTCGAGGAGGGGTTGTCCCCAACGGTGAAGGACGAGCTTTCCTGCGCACCCCGCCCGCAGTCGATGGATCAGCTGACCAAGGCTGTGCTTGCGATTGGTGTAAGGCAGGAAGTGCGGGCCCAGGAGAAGCGGGAAGGGAGAGAGCAACGTTACCATGACTACCGCATTCCTGAAATACCAAGGCAGCCTTCCCCGCCGGCGGAGCCAATGGAAATAGATGGGGCGCGCGCGCGCGGGAGGTTTCAAACTCCAGTGAAGGTCGCAAGAGGGAGGGAAAGGATGGGAAAACCACCAAGAAGTGTTTTCTCTGCCAGCGGCCAGGACATTTTGCCAGGGTCTGCCCGCAAAGAAAGGCCTGGCAAGGGATGGTGGGAGCTGCAGGGGTGAGGAGGAGATGGTAAAGGGGCAGGAGCAGGGAAACGCCAACGCTTGGTTGCCACTCAGCGGGCACAGCAGCCAGGCCAGCAACCAATAGAAGTGCCCCAACCAGACCCCCCCAGGGCGGCTATAGCCATAGAAGTGGTGCTAGAACTCCCAAATGGGCACCCAGCCAAGGTGAAAGGGCTGTTGGATTCAGGCAGTTCCTGCAATTTCTTCAGCAAGGACTTTGCACTAGAGCACCAGCTCCACCTGCTGCCCCTGGATTTCCCCTTGCAAGTAACCACCATTGATGGCAGGGAGCTTCTGGGAGGGGAGGTGACGCACCAGACCCCACCAATGAGAATGAGGGTTTCCAGGCACACGGAGACCATCACCTTTCACGTAGCCTCACTGGCAGGGCCCCCAATAATATTAGGGATGAGCTGGCTAGCACAACATGATCCAGTGGTGGCATGGCATCAGAGAACGGTCACCTTTGGGTCCGCTTACTGCTTGGAACACTGTCTAGGGGGGGGAAACCCCAAGAATGACCGTGGCCAGGGTGGCTGGGATAGCTGTGGAGCCGAAAGGGGAGGTGCCACCACAATATGCTGACCTGCAGGAGGTCTTCAGCGAGAAGGAAGCAGATAGACTACCCCCCCATAGGCCCTTTGACTGCCAAATCAACTTGCTCCCTGGGGCGCAGCTACCGGTGGGTAAACTGTATGCCATGTCGGACAGGGAGATGAAGGAGTTGTGGGAATTTATTGACAAGAACCTGAAAAGAGGCTTCATAAGAGAATCAAAAGCGGTAGGGGGCAGTCCGGTGTTATTTGTGGACAAAAAGGACACTAATCAACCCAGGCTCGTTGTGGACTATAGGGCCGTCAATTTGGTATCGGAACCAGTGACCTTCCCAATGCCCAGGATTGACGACATTTTAACACGGGTGAGGCAGGGGAAAATTTTTACCAAGCTTGATCTCAGGGGAGCATACAACTTGATTAGGATGAGGGAGGGGGACGAATGGAAGACCACAATGTTCACACCCCTGGGGGCCTTTGAGTACCTAGTTATGCCTTTTGGATTACAGTCGGGCTCCGCCTGTTTTCAAGCTTTCATGCACCACGTGTTGGGGTCCCTGCTGTACAAGAACTGCGTAGCCTTCTTGGACGACGTCTTAATCTATTCGGACAATGAGGAGCAACATGTCAGAGACGTCAGGGAAGTGTTACAACGACTGCAGAAGCACCAGTTGTGGGTCAAGCTGGAAAAATGTCAGTTTCACGCCAGAGAAGTCGAGTTTCTGGGGGACAAGTTGTCAGACAAAGGCTTAGCGATGGACCCAAGCAAGGTGCAGGCAGTGCTGGAGTGGAAGGCTCCCAAAACCCGGAAGGACGTGCAGAGGTTCCTAGGGTTCAGCAACTTCTACAGGAAGTTCATCAAGAACTTTGCCCACTTGACAGCACCCATCACAGATTGCCTCATTTATTTATTTATTTATTAGTTTTGCGGCCATTGGCCCATATCGAAAGCAATACATCAGAATTTATCCATAAACAATACAATTTAAACAATTCCAAGTTAAAACACCCTTATAAAACCAATTTTACTTTAGTTAAGTAAACACTATACACAATAAGCTCCCTCTATGTAAACCGCAATTCCGATCCATCAGATTTTGGGGGGTATACGTCTTAGTTCTGACACTTATTGATGGTTCTTTAGTTTAGCTAAGCTGTCAGAAACATACAGTGATCCATTTCTCCTCTTTTGAAATAAAACA